TATTTCTTGGTTGTATTAACTTCCATAGTAACAGTTTTACTTGGTTACCAAGTGTATTTATTTTGTACTATTTCAATTGTTTTTGTGTTATGATATACGCTGTCCAGAGTAACTTGTGGGGCTATAGAAATCAAATAAATATGTGATCATCCAGGGTAGGATACAAAATAAACACAGTGACAAAAAACAGGTGAAGCCCCTTTTATTCCTTCACTTTGCTTCCAAGCTCCAAATATCCTTGACTGGAGACAAAAAACTCCCACAAAAGCAGATACAAGAAGGAGGAAATGCCATTTAAATTATAAAGAATAAAAAACAACACAAACCAGGCGAGATAAGGGCTTGAAGTCATCCACAGATATCAGAACACACACGGGGAAGGACACCAAACTCAGAGAGGAACAATAAACTAGAGATTTTTCCATGCTTTGTTTCCAGCACTCGCCCATACGCATGTCCGTCCTCTTATCCAGTTGTCACAGGTGCAGCCCATGAAGAGTATTAAGGCCCTCTCCTCCCCAGTAGACCATGTCTCTCCCTTATCCTTTCCTCCCTGCATGCCCTAGGATGGAAGGGGGTGGGCCTGGGTCCTTCTCTGACTGCCCAGCCAGCCTCTGCCCTTCCACATCCTCCTCCACAACCTCTAGAGCCACACTTCTACTCCCTGTTCCTTCTCTCCCTCAGAGTCAGTCTCCACGAGGGGCATGACCTAAATATACGTCACTCTGAACTTGAAAGAAGGGCAACTGACAGTAATAATACAATCAATTAAGTGGAATAAATTATGTTTACTATATGGCCTAGATGTACACAAAATTATCGGAGATGTTTCCAATCCCAGCAACAAAGCTTATGTAGCAGTTTGGGACAGGTTCCTCTTCTTGCAGCTTAATTTATCTTACAGGTTTATTGAAGAAATAAGCAAAATAAATGATAATCCGGCTAAAGCCCTTAGGTTAGGGTGGAAAAATAACATTAGCAATAATTTTGGGTTTTTTTAATTACTTGGTGGAGATCAAAAGTAAATCTGAGGAATTACACAATGAAGTGCTTAAGGAATAGGGAGGGGAATTTATTCGGGCTTGTCATTAAAATGGAAAGACATTGAAAAGATTTAATGTGCAAGAATTTCAGGATTTAATATTAGTTTACGCACAATATTGTTACTGTTACAACTAAGTTGGCAGAAATCTATAGTGATGATTAAATATGGTGTGGAAACTGTCTATCCAGAGGTATATGTAAGGAAACATCAGTATCGGCTTACACATCTCAAAAGGAGTCAAGCTTGACCTACCCACAATGGTCCCAAAGCTGGTGTTGTCCCTCTTAACTGTTTGCCTGTTTTCTGGAAAGATACAGTGATGCCTTCCAACTCAGCCAACTAAAATATCAGACAAATTATAGCCAACAAGAGTACTATTTGCAACAGCTAGTTATTATAGCCATATCAGTACTGATACACCTCTTGGTGTAGGTTCCTAAACTAAAACCTCATTGCTATTATCCTTGCTCATGAAGGATAATGAGACTGAAAATAACGCAATCCTCTGATCTAATCCAGCAGGACCTGTCTTTTTAAGTGGTTTTCTTCCTGCCCACTTTCTTTGTTAGCACTTGCATTTAAGATCTGGAATAAAAAGGAAGAATCCACACTACAGTTAGTGTTGTTTATTTGCAAATATACTTTGCAGTGGAGTAATGAGAGCTAGGCATTAAATGTTTTAAGAAAAATATCTAAGTCTTCAGCTCCTGCCAATCACCCGACAAAACTGCTTCCAAAATACCCTTCTCACATCTAGGTGTCTCAAAGCTTAGAAACAAAAGCAATCAATCTGAGAGGATACAGCTTACAGCCCATTCAGACTGCAGCGAGGGCATTTAATAATGTCCTCTCCCATCAAATTAGCATTTTTCAACATTGACAAGTTTAAGATATGTGGGCTTCATGCTGGTTGGGGGATTCTGGGAATTGAAGTCCGCACATATTAAGCTTGTCAATGTTGAAAAATGCTAATTTGATGGGATAGGAAATTATTAAATGCACTGCATCAAATGAAAAATTTTCCTTACAGACAGAAAACATAAGAAAACTTATGCTTTTACTTAACCTTTTTTTTTTTTGAGGGGCAGTTCATGTTGTTACTATATGGCAGAGCTCCCCAAACTTGGCAACTTTAAGACTTGTGGACTTCAACTCCCAGAATTCTCCAGCCAGCATAGTCTTAAAGTTCCAAGTTTGGAGACCTCTGCTATATAGTCTTTTAGCTACACTCCTGAGGTCTGCATAAACACACCCATCTGATTTTCTTAGCAATAAGAAATGGATTTCCCATGGTACAGCTGGGTAGAACACAAGAAATAGAATGTACAGAATAAATTAACCCAGGAAACACATATAGGTTGTATATATTGAATGTATACAATAATCATTTCAATCTTCTCTCCTACTACGTAAACATTATGAAGGATTTATTGATTAAATAATAGTTATAATCCAATAGTAATAGGAGAGTAATAGGTGTTATTTATTAATATGTAATCTATAAGAGATAAGGAATACTTGCCAATTATTATTTACTATGAACTATTGAACCTAATATCAAATGTAATAGTAAGAAATATGTTTAGTGTTTTATTTGTACATTTACGATTTTTTATTTCTGTATATTAGTATGTATCTTTTTAATCTTTTGCAAATAAAGTTTGTTTTAATAACTAATTTTTTTAAAAAAGAAATGGATTTTCCACTGATGTTTTCCAATTTGCAGTAGTTTACAGTCTTACTAGTATGTGATTTCTCTCAGTCAAGTATTAAATAGACATCTGTTCTTGGCTTCCAGGAACAAACAAGGCCACCTGGTACTGCTAACTGTAATCTCCCATCCTCATGTGAATAACAGAATAACAGAGTAGAAAGAGACTTTGAAGGTCTTCTAGTCCATCCCCTGCTCACACAGGAGACACTATACCATTTCAGACAAATGGTTCTCCAATTTGTCCAGTGTTGGAGCAACTTCTGGATAGTTTTTCCTGGAAATGGAGTCACAGTAAAATATTACACCTGAACCTTATAGTGGAATGAAATAACTGACTTCTGTTCAGGAAAACTTAGTTGTAGATTTTTTGGCATTTTGTACTTCCATATCATCTTCTACAGATGGAAGAGCTTCTTCCAACAATTGCTTGGTTTTTCACTCAGTAAGCAAAAAGGTTTCAAATTGCCATAAAAAGAAAATCCTCTTGTCAAATGCATTAGAGATTAATTTCTAGAGGGAATTATCTCAAGTTGATTCACTGCAAGGATATTTTTGCTTTCCCTTTATGCATCATGATTTGTTCTGAAGGATAAGAATAGAATGGCTGGATTTCTGAGGCAGCAGTTTGGCAAAACAGAACTGTCCTAAAGCAACAATAGACCAGACTTTCCTTCACAATGGAGGTATTATATCAGAGAAAATCTAAACTCCTCCAGTGACAAGAGGGGCACACTGACTTCTGAAATAATTCTGTAAGAACTGTCAGTGTTGTCTTGCTCAAATAGTGGTACATGGTCTTTGTTTTTTTCAATTAACTTTTCTGACACTTGATCTTCTTGGGAAAAAGTTGAATAGTTTGGAAACCATAGCTGACCTTGAAAAGAAAGTGGGACATTCCCATTTCTGAGCTATTAATATGGAGATTAACCAATATGGGAGTAAGCCCAGAGACAGCATCAGGGAATGCCAATACAACTCTCAGAAATTAGTCCATATGATGCTGGTACTGTATTGTAAAATGAATAATATAGCAAGTTTTCAGAAATGAAGAGATTCTTTTCAATTTAGATCTTTTGCACTCAGAGGTTATATTTCATGAAATATTCTTAAACAGGTAAAATCAATAAAAGTAATTGCTTTGGTCTCACACTGATAGGGAAGGGGAGATAAAAAATAAGAATACAAGGCAAGTATAGAAAACAGTGCTATATTGTGTTTTTTGACCATGTTAATAATTGATCTAACCTGCCTTAAACGTGTTTGTTTCTTTCCTATTCTGCAGGTCTAAAATTTCCAAAAATTCCCTACACTGACTGGCAATCCATCTCCATGTTTTTAGGCAATATTTTTTCTCTAGTTCTACATGGAAATGCCAGGGTTGAATGTGGAACCTCTGACTTGAAAGTCATAGACTATCATGCTGAGCCATGGATCAGCCATCTATACACATGAATTGTCTAGTACTTTTATCAACATCATTAATGAAATGGCAACACTACTTTTCATTTCCCAGACTTTTAAAAATCTGTAATAAGTTACACAGATATTTTTGCAGTTGTCCTTGGCTATATTTTATTTTATATTTTGTATTATATTTTATAGTTTTATTAGCTACAGTGGAAATTTTTGTAACTGATTTTTTAAAAACCAATTCAGGATATGCTTGAATGCGTTCCTAAAAGGGTTCTTCTTCTGATCACCCAATTACAGCTTGGTTTCATTCTGCATTGCATCCTCAAAGTAGTTTACATAAATTTTACTGCTGATGAAGCCCATTGTTACCACCACTTTATACATATAATTGCTAATAAACATGCCTTGCTTTTAATTTCTGTATAATTCAGGTTCATGGAGCTGAAGGGCCTTGATTGTTTGATGGCAGTTTTCAGGTTCCAAGTTAAGCAAAACAACACAAAATAAATGTAAAATGTCAATGTGGGATTTAATTTCACCTAAAGATAGTGTAAAAAAATAATATACAGAATAATAGTAGAATATACTACAGTGCATGTTTTAAAACTTTAGAGACAATGATTTGTTCATTAAAATATATACCCAATGAAACAAACTCAGCAATTTAATGCTAATAGTGCTAAATAACCTGAATAATAAATCCCACCGAAAATCGCAAGTTACTTGTAACAGTCATTCAGATCTAGTTATATTTATTAATATTTTTTTTATTTTTAAAAAGCATGGCAATAAATGAGAATGCAACAACAAAGTATTTAATTTTTGTGCTTTAAGATTAATCGCATTTTTAGGAATGTAAAAAAAAGTGTTTATACAATTTCTTCTTAAACTTCTTTTTATTCTGGTACACATTGAACAAAAAAAACTATACTAGTTTGGGAAGTTAGTATGTACCTAATCAAAGTAATTCCTAGTGTCTGGATAGAATTGCAGAAGAAAATGTACCGGTACTCAGTGAGAACACTGCTTTTTTAATCTTGATAAGGAAAAATAATTATTCACTGATTATAATTCTGAAGCCTGCTTATGTTCATGTAAATAGCTTTTTTTAAGTTTTGGAAGTCTTAATTAGTAAGTCCTGATCAATATAAAATGGCATTTAGATCTCACATCAATTTTAACAGTAGCCACAGGCATCTCATCAAAACCTGTAAAATGGTGGACAGGACTATCTTGTGGGTTTTTACACCGATCCACCCGGCTTTCCTTTACCCACTTGCCCCAGAGGCCCCTGAACCTTACCATGGTGGTAGGAATAATTATGATCAAAGTGGGGTGGGGGTGGCGAATCCATCTTCCCAGGGTCATGAAACTAATTTACATTCTCCGTGTCCAAGCCGAATATTCTGGATTACATTTGTAACGACACATTCTCCGAATGCAAATGCCATATGCCAAATTCTTAAATTCCATACAGGAAGATAACTGCTATTTTTGTGATTAATAAACATAAATACTGTAGAAAAGCAGAGCATAAAAAAGGCTAGAGTGACACAAAGGATCCAGTGTTCTGGTCTCATCTACAGAAGAATGAGGCCAGAGAACACCCCCCCCCAAAAAAAAGTGAATTTAGCAACATTTCAAAAAATAAGACAAAATATCAATGCCTTATTTGAAACTATAGCAGGAAAACAAAAGCCTACAACTAGACGTGTATACTTCTAAACATTGGAGAAAAGAATATTTATTCTTTTTAATCTGAGAACCAAAGTGTATATGGTACCTAGCATCCAGCAAGAGTAATTTAATTCATAATGTCTCATGCTCCTGGGCTCTTTTTTATTATAATTTGTAGACTCTTGGATAATAGCAATACATGCACTCCTTCCACAATCCAACAGAGAGATAATAATTCCTGAACATTCAACCTGTTTAAGAATTCTGTATGTGCATTATTTGAGATTTGCATCATGTGAATGTTCTGATGTACCGTTATCATCAAAATACAAGTTCCTGATTCATTTCCATCCTTTTAGATGAGGCCCAATAATTGCTGACCAGTAACACTTTTATAAAAAAGGAAACACTGCCTACAATAGACCATGTACCATATACAGGTAGTCCTCGACTTACAACAGCTCATTTAGTGACCATTTGAAGTTACAATAGTTACAAAAGTAACTTAGGACTGTTTTTCACTTATGACTGTTGCAGCATTCCTGATGGTCACATGATCAACATTGATACTTGGCAACTGACTCATACTTATGACAATTGCAGTGTCCCACAGTCATATCATCATTTTTTGCAATCTTCTTTCAAGCAAAGTGAATGGGGAAGCCAGATACATTTAACAGCAGGGTTACTAACAACTGCAATGACAAGAAAGGTCATCAAATGAGGCAAAATTCATTTAACAAATGTCTTGGACTTAATTGTGGTTGTAGGTCAAGGACTACCTGTACATTTTTGCAAATCGTAAGGCTCAAATGAAATTAAAACGGTTCAATTTTCTAAGTCTTATCACTGCTAAACTTTATGTTGCAAAGAGGCCCCAGGAAACACAAAATAGACTTCTATGATACTCAATACCACCCTTTTTATAGGCTTAAATTGCCTTTACACAATTGGATGATACCGTGAACATGTAACCTGTAAGTACATCTTCTTACAAGTAAGTATGCCTTTACCATACATGATCATTTGCCTGTCTATATTCTCCATGTGTACAATGTACACAGTAGGCACTTTTTGGACAGCTGGGAATAGAGATGAGGTCTGTGTAGCCCTACATATTCAAAAAGCAAAATAGGATTTGGAATTCCTGTTTAGAACAGTTCAAGACACTGTGTATCATTGGGCTCAAGCAAAGTGCCGTTCACAGATGCCGTGTAATCCCAGGAAAAAGTGCATTTGATTTAATGGATTTTCATCATGTGCTCTATGCATGTCCCACATGTAATAAATGATCATTTGCCCTCTGAATCTGGGTTGCTGTATAGCCCTAGTAGAAGCATCCATAAATGAAGTTTACAAGGGCATAAGAAGTATGTAAACAACACATATACTGGAGCACATCAATCCCCTTAATGTATTCTCTGTACATTATATAACTGAAGAGTGTTTTAATTTTGCTGGTATAATACAAAGCCAGACATATGAGAGAATACACTCTCTTTCTGCTTTTCCTCCTTCTGTTTACCTTTCTTCGATCTGCCCTACTGATCTCCAAAGATCTCTAGGACAACAAAGACCATGTCAGATGCCATTATATCACAAGAAAAATGAAGGTTTTCCCTCACTAGTTTTTGTTTAGACACCATGTCACTGATCGGAAATAATAGGCTACAGGGCCTTAGATGTAATTAATACCATAATACATTTGATTATTTTGTGGAGGAGTATCCAAACAAAAAAGGACAAAAGAACCTCCTTCACAATTTGATGATAACTGATGTAACAGCATGGGAAATACAATGCAACAGTACAAGTGTATATGTTTCTTATTAAAGCCACCATTGTTACGAATATGACTTCATTTGAAACCAAGAAAAATTATGTTAAAATATAATTTAACATTGCATTAATTTCAGATATAATTAAAGCCTAATTTAAAAAAAAGAATCGGGGGAAAATGTACTCTTTCCAATAACATACAGAATATTACACTTAAAAATATCAATTAAAGTATTAGAATGTGGATTAAAGTGGGTGAGCCCCAAATAAAGGTTTTAGTTTACATAATAAAAATGATTTTTATTAATCATGCTGCAGCCTACATTTTAAAATATCTACCTAATTTAGACTATGTTTTTACTACTTTATAGTAGTTGTGTGTGTATGTATCCCACAGTATGTGGTGCATTCCAACAGAAAGGCACAATTATCAAGCAATAAAGTACATGAAATAAGTGGTTTGTGTTCACAAATTAAAAATATGGAGTACAGAAAAGGCTCTAAAGCTATCAGGTGCTGTAAGCAAAGTTTCATTAAATTTTAGGTTTATTAGCATAGCTTGCTTCCAGTGTGTAAAAAATAGGTGTGTATATGGGAAGGGGGAAAAAAAAAATTTTTCGTTACAATATAGCCATTTGTGGCTGAGGGATATGACATGGCTTTAATTGACCACAGACAGAGCTTCTGGATCATCTGTAAACACAACTGCTTTAACAGATTTAAATAGAGAGAAAATGGTGCATTTATAGTTTGAAGCGTATTTATGCATACACATAAACCCATTTGCTGTTTATAATGTTGTTCCAATGGTAAGACTACACATGGCATTTCTCAAGGATCTGAATCTATAAGGTTTTTAACCAGGATCAAAGATTTGAGCTCACTGCCTGCCACATATAATTTTCGCAGAGGCAATATCATAGCACTTCTCAAAAAGTATACCATCTCTCGCATAGATCAACTGTCCATCACTGCTTCCCTATGAAGAAAACACTATCATGAGGACAGTCCACTTAGCCAAAATAAGGAAGGAACCAAGAAAGTCACTGAGAATCCCACTGTTCCATAAGTAATATAGCGGTAAGGTAGTTCAACTTCCATATGCTGTCGGGCTTCTCGAACATCTGCATTAGAAATACCAAAGATTTTACAGGCCAGTGGGATGGTGACTTGCTTCATTATCATTCGGACCAGCAACAGAAAAACTAATCCAATCAATAATCGCAGGGCAGCCTTTCCAAAGAGATTTAAGGTGAGTGAAGGAACTAACGGAAGCATTTCTTGTGAAGGATCTGGCATTAGATTCAGACAATAGGTAGCATAGGAGCCACAGGCAACTCCAGCACCGCTGCCCAGGATCTGAGCTGTATCTCCTCGGGATGTGCTCCAGGTGTCTAGAGTGAAGGAAAACACCCCCAAGACAAGATGAAGGCTGATGATGACTAGTGGCGCATATCTGAATGTTAAGTTGAAATTATCTACTAGATCCACAGTTGGAAGGAAGACAACCAAGATGAGAAGAGCATAAAGAAAACCAGCAATAACGTCCTGTTGCAAGAGATAGAAAAAAATTAGTAACATATGAATTATGACAGTCTTACTAATATAAATTTGATATTTTCAAAATACATTTCCCAGAAAATTATTGAGAGAATTATTCTGAAATTGCACATTAAAACAAAGGAAAGAGAACTTGATTACAAAAATCACTTAACAAATGTCTCCTTCAGCAACATAAATTTTGGGCTCAACTGTGGTCGTAATTGGAGGACTACCTGTACTTGACTGAAGTAGTTATAAGAGAAATGGACAATTCACCCTGTGTCTTCCCTTTAATACCCTGGGGAGCAGCAGAGAGGGCGGGGGTGGGGAGTGGCAGTTTGAATCTTTTCCCAATATTTTTCTGCCTCTCTGGATTTAACGCACGTCTTCTGCACCTGATATTCCCCTAATGGCCCCCCAGACTCCTCCTTCAAGATCACTTCCCTGACTCGGAGTCATATGACCAGGAAAGACGAGTGTTTGGAATGGAGCAATCAACAATGTTCTGAATCTACTGGTTCTTTCTTAGGGGAGCCTTTCTTTGGGGAGCATGTTCTCTGTAGCTCCAGCCAGATCTAGTCCATTTTTTAGTATCATCCTTAATTTAACAACTTCTTTGAACAGAAAGAAAATCATTATTACAGTCCATCTTCTTTTAGAAAATGGGGAGGTGGTGTTAGGAATATATTGGGGGGGGGGGGGAGGCTAGATTTACAAAGATAATCCAATCCATACATTTCTGTCCAAAATGACAGGACTAAACAACCTGTTAACATATAAATTATCCCTGAGAGAAAGAGATGGAATGACTGTAACTACTAAGGCAGTTTACATCTGCATTTCAAAAGGGTCTAGAAAAAGAAACAAACTCCAGATTAAACTATAAATTATACATAAATTATCTGACATTTGAGTACATGGGTATATTTTCCACGCACAGATGTTAGGAAAAATGATTAAGTCTGTATTATATAAGCTTGTACTCAAGATTTTAAGCTTCTTTAATTCAGGGAACCAAATAAATTGGGTAGACTTCTGAAATCAATGCAGTCTCTTTCATTGATCTGTGATAAAGCAAGGATTCATTCAAGTTGAGTTATTGTTCAAAATTACAGTGTGACTTTTGACCATTTTTCACACTTATGAGCATTGCAGCATCCCCAGGGTCACGTGATCAAAAACCAGATACTTGGCAACTGGCATGTACTTATGACAGTTGCAGTGCCTTGGGGATCATGTGATCCCCTTTTATGACCTTCTGATAAGCAAAGTCAATGGGGAAGCCAGATTCACATTAACAACTGAGTTACTAACTTAAAAACTGCAGTGATTAACTTTTCAACTGTGGCAAGAAAGGTCATATATTGGGACAAAATTCACTTAAAAATGTGTCGCTTATCAACAGAAACTTTGGGTTCAATTGTGGTTCTAAGTAGAAGACTAACAGTATACCGTTTGTAGAAACAACACAGAAATGGTTGCTCAGTACATTTTCTTCCTCGTTTCTCAATCTTGTCCCAATGCTGGTATACTAACTAAATACTAACCAGATCCAACCCTGTCTAGCCTTTTCAAGGTCAGCCAAGGTAGTTGCTGCTACCTGATACAAAATGAGTCATTCTGAGATCCATCAGAGGAATAAAGGGGAAGTCCAGCCAGAGATTGAAAAGAAGATTGAACATGAAGGAATATGTGCTTCCGTGCTCCATGCAACATAACTTGTTTGAATGGAGGGAAAATATTCTGCAGGAGTTTCCAGCCTAATTGTGGTCAGCATGATTACTTTCTGCCTATCCATTCTACCAATGGAGCATCAAACAGCTTCCATCTGGAGCTTTGGATCTTCAACTTTAAAATGTGGCTAGGGGGGAAAATGATTTCCCTGCAGCAGAAGATAGAGTTAAGACTGAGAAGGAGTGTTTAGACTCTTCTACAGCAGTGTTTTTGAAAGTTTGCAACCTGAATTGGCTGGGGAATTCTGGGAGTTGAAGTCCACACAACTTAAAGCTGGCAAGTTTGAAAAAGACTACACGCAGAGGTGGTATTTAGCAGGTTCTGGCCAGTTCTGGAGAACCGGTACAGGAAATTTTGAGTAGTTTAGAAAACTGGCAAATACCACTTCTGACTGGAGATTTTACAGTATCCTTCTCCTGCCATGCCCACCAAGCCATGCACACAGAACCAGTAGTAAAACAAATTGAATGCCACCAGGATGGCAAGACATTTAGCTCCACCTTCTAGATGGATTAAACTCATCTGCAATTATCAAATGACCAAGTTTAGCCTAATTGTTGCTGTAAGAGATATGTTCATCATCTTTTATAGCAGAGCTTAAGCTGACATTTTTCAGAAAATATGCATTACAATACGACCATTATTTAATGTTATGTTTTTAGAATTTATGACTTTTTCTTACCAGAATTGTATGCATTCCCATATATACTCGACTGAAACAAACCAGAGAAGACCAGCAAATTGTGAGAATCAGCCCATACGTGAAAGGATACTAGGGAAAGAAAAACAAGAAATATTACTTTGAATCAGATAACTATATAATTTTCCAAGTTATTTGCAACTAATTTTTTACAATACATGGATACCATCATTCAAAATAATAACTTACAATACAAGCATAAAATGCATACACTTTTTTCACCTGTTCGTCCTCAATTTCAAATTTCAGCACATTCAATTATCCTTTTGGCAATTGCATCTTCATCGTTTGTACATAATTCAGCTTCAAATTCTGTCTTCTGTGCTCAATTCCAAACCTCCAGCTATAAACCTTGATTTTTTCTGTTAACTGTGCATACAAAAACTACTAAAAACTAAATCCCTCTGTAACCAATTGTTCCCTTGGTTTCATTTTATAATCTCAATCTCTGCTACTTTAATGTAGGCAGACAACAATCCAGCTGTTGCAAGTGAAAAACAATAAAGACTGCTTTTGGGGAATTGGTTAACTTTCTGCTCACTGAAAGAAACAGAACCAACTCTTGCATTTTATTCTTCTTTCACCAGAGAAGTGTTCCTCAGTTAAAGGTAAATTTCTAACTGAATCCAAATGTATTTGATCACTTTGCCTGATTTATTTTGACTTATGATCATTAATTATGTGCCAGAAAGTCATTTTTGACTCCTACTGGCCATGTAGGTAATTTTCTCCATGTTGATTTATCTCAAACCTGTCTTTTCGCATGTCCCAATGGTGTACTCATTGCCACTGCTCCTGAGTCTGTCCATTTTGCTGCTGGTCACCCTTTTTCACCTTCTTTCATTGTCTTAAAAGTCCTCTTTTTATCATAGAAGTCATCAAATTAAAAAATTAAAAAATTCAACCTTGCAATAAAGCGGTAACAACTATTTGGCTGGGATGTAATAAGATTCTGGCTTTGAGCAGGGGGTTGGACTGCAAGACCTCCAAGATCTTTTCCAGCCCTATAATTCAGAAAATACGGAACAAGAGCCATTCAGCTTGGCATAACTCTGATATAGAGAATGATTACACATACATGGTATCATTTACAAAGTCCATCCTGCTTGTCTGCAGTTGAAATCATTTTAGGATTTGTTGGAACACTCCAACATCTCTTTAGTGTTATGTTGCCTCACAATCTGCTCTAATATTAACAGACTATCCTGCTTTCAAAATCTTGGATTTGTACCACATCTCTCCATAAGGAATAAGTAACTATGGTTTATGAGAAACCCAAGTACTAGAGCAAGTTAATACAGAACATGACATGACCTCTGAAGGACTTTTGCACGAAGACAGCATAAGGTATTTTCCTTCACATACCATATAGTTAAAGAATGGAACTCGTTATCCTAAGATAATGAAAATGATCCAATTCATGGAGAATTATACAACTAGTGACTGCTCTCAATTCCTATTTCTAGAAAGCCAAAGATGTTATTATTCTCATATTTTCCTTGTCAGCATCTGATAGACATCTAGTTTATCACTGAATGTTGGTCTAAAAAGACCTTTGGTCTGAGCCAATAATAATGTTCTTATTACTGTTTGTGACCTTCCAAGGGCAGACAGAAATGCTGGCTCAATTAGAAAGCAATTACATGTTGAGGATTTTCAGCCATACAGTATAGAAAATAGCAAGTGCTGGTAACAGTTCCTTGGAAACATCTACTGATCTGTCTCAAATGCTGGTCCCTAATTTCCAACTATTAGATTAAAATGGAATTCTGTAATAACATATATATTGGCAATTTGTAGCTTTCTATATAAACAATTGCACAGTGGCAGATAGGACAGCAGTCCAGAGGGTTAACGTCATTGCCCAGAGGATCATTGGTTGTCCTCTCCCCTCTTTGGAAGAGCTTTATAGCTCCTGCTGCCTTACGAAAGTTCAAAACATTCTCAAAGATCCATCTCATTGTGGAAACCCATTTTTTGAACTATTACCCTTTGGCAGACAGTACAGAATAATTAAAACAAGGACAAATAGGCTGAAAAACAGTTCCTATTCCAGGGCAGGAGCTCTTTTGAATTCTGCTGTATAGTGCAGTGCTGGTGTGGTGTCGGGGGTTTCCGGTTCAATGTGTGAAGGGTGAAGGATGTGTGCTTGTGTTTATTTTCATGGTCATGGTCATGATGTTCACTGAAGATGGTGTTTGATTTTGTTGTATGAGGTGCAACGACAATAAAGTAAACTAAAACTAAACTAAACTACCCAACCACTAGCTAATATTTTCTTCTATATCCCCCATACTAATTTCCACAGAGTTTAACATGGATTGCTTTCCTTTCTTCTTTGAAAAAGTCAATATATCTGTGTCAGGAAACAGGCAATTTTAAAAGAAAAAATTAAGCTAAAAGTTGATGTGCATAGGATAAGAAGAAACTACCCAGTTTCAAACGTAACCTTGATCATACAATCACAGAGAAGAATTGAGAAAAAAAAATTTAGACTGTTGGAAACTACCACATTACTTGTCAAGCAAAACTTATTGGTTTGTAAATTTAGTATTTTAATTCTATCATGATTCTAAGCAGCATAATATCAATTTAAAACAACAGAGTATAAGCAAAAATGTCCAGAAAAATAACACAGAATTTGGCAAAACAATCAGCCAAGATGTTCATTTAAATATAAATTCACTTTCAGAAGACTCTGGAAGTTGTATTTCCATAAAGAAACCCTAGTCCATATAGATAAAACTATATGCTACTTCAGCAAAAAAAAATAATATCTAAGACTTGTTTCATTTCCTACATCAAGCTTAACCATAATTCATTGAAGAACACACAATTGACTGGATTTACACATGCCTCAAATCATGGTTTAGAAAGAAATAAACATTAAGCCAAAACTAAACAAGACACATTCTGGTTTAATATTGTATTATACATATTGTTCACATCATATATAACATATACAACTGTATGAACAAACTTGTCATGCTACGTATAAATTCATATTATCTGACAAATATTCATCCTATGCAACAGACCACGTATCATTCATTACCCTTATACCAGCTATTTTCTTAAATTTTCCCCCTTATATATATAACTCACAGCCAATTGAAGCGTGTGGCAACAGGGAGAAAACAAAGTTAGGAGCCTTAAGGCCCAGTAAACCAGAAAGTTTCTATTCAATGATTATATCAAAGATAGCACAGCTAGCATGCTGACCTAGTAGGAAGGGATAAGTGAATTTATCTAAAATATTCCTGCGTCACGCTTAATTTCCACTGTGTCTGCCTTTTCCTTTGTCCTACCTTTGAAATGTAATGAACCAAAGATATATACCAGTGGTGGCTAACCTTTTTGGGCTCCTGTGCTGAAAATTGCATGCGCACTTGCACGCATGTGCCAGCTCCCAGAAGGCAATGCATGCGATTCCCCCCTGCTGACACCCCCTTACCTGCACTGGGCATGCACACACCTCCCAGCTGATTTTCGGCCCGTTTGAGGCTTTTTTTTTGGCTTCCCAGAGGTTTGAGGGAAGCCTCTGCAGCCTTTGGAGGATGAAAAACAGGCCTGTTCCATCACTTCTAGTATTTCCAGAAGTGTTTTGGCCACCTCCCAGCTGATTTTTGGCCCGTTTGAGGCTTTTTTCGGCTTCCCAGAGGCTTGAGGGAAGTCTCTGCACCACTTAATAAGGTCATAATCCCCATACAGTTCAAGAATTTACTCTTATTACATATCTCCACAGAGGAACAACAGTGGCATACTTTCAATCAGTAGTCTCACACATGTTAAATAACTTGCACAGCAAACACGCCAATATTTTAATATTTATCTAGCTATAACCACCTATTCCTGCAGCCTTACCACTTTTTTCAACATTCTTAACAATGTATGAGTTGCTTTTGATCATCTTTTTCATTTTTCATATATATTTCAATTTCCCTCTTCAACATATCCCTATCATTTCCACCTCCCAAATACTTCTTTTCAGTATTCCCTTACTTCAGTGGCCCCCAACCTTTTTTGTGCCATGGCCCGGTACTGGCATCACAAAATGATCCGCGGCCCGGTACTGGCATCAGCATGCATGACAAGGCAAGGCGAGCCAAGCGACTGGCCAGCCAGCCGTCCCACGCTTCTCCCTGCCACCTTCAACTCCTCCTTTGTACCTTTGTCGATGGGCTTCGCTTCAGGACGGCTTCGGGACGATCGCTCAGCTCACCTTGCCTTGGGTACTGAAAGAATCCACGCGCCTTAGTTTCGTTTGAAGCCCCCCACTTCGATGAAACTAAGGCACGAGGATTCCTTCAGGACCTAAACACCGCCTTCCAACTGGAAAAGCTCACCCGGAAGCACTTTGTCAAACAAGATGGCGGCACCCAGCAAACCAGCAGCCCAGTAGGAAATGTTCCACGGACCGGTACCGGTCCATGGACCGGTGGTTGGGGACCCCTGCCTTACTTCATCCCAATCATTCCACCATTTTCATTATTATTTCCCAGCTCTTGGCTCCTTGTTTAGCACTTTTTCTTGATTTTCATTTTTTTAAAAAAAATTCACATCAAAATTGCTCAGCATTTTCTCTGCCTCTTTTGATCTTAACAATCTTGTTATGTCTTGGGAACCGGTTGGGGATCCAACCGGGTCCGCTCTTTAAGTAGGTTCAACAACCGTTCCTATTGGCTGGCGCCGTTTGACAGCCGGCTATATAAAGCCAGCTGTCAAGCCAAGCCAGCCGTTGTTCGCTAGCTAGTCTGCCCGTTGGCTGGCAGACGCGACAACCACTGTTCCTTCAATAAACTTGTTAATTGCATGCCCTGGTCTAAGCTTCTCCTTCCTTCGAAATACAACAAATCTCTACTAGGCTGAAGGTACAATTGGCTGCAGATTGGAGGAATTTATATTCAGTGTAGTAAAACATGATATTCTGAAGGTTCTTTTTATCTGAAAAGCAGTTAACAAGCAATTTCCCAAAAGTGATTAAGACACGAAGTATGTTATCTGGTGTCCATAAAAGCACTAACAATGTTTTGAGCAAAGATAACTCTCTCCTTCTCCCTTGCAAAGCTGTG